AGAGAGAGAGAGAGAGAGAGAGAGAGAGAGAGAGAGAGAGAGAGAGAGAGAGAGAGAGAGAGAGAGAGAGAGAGAGAGAGAGAGAGAGAGAGAGAGAGAGAGAGAGAGAGAGAGAGAGAGAGAGAGAGAGAGAGAGAGAGAGAGAGAGAGAGAGAGAGAGAGAGAGAGAGAGAGAGAGAGAGAGAGAGAGAGAGAGAGAGAGAGAGAGAGAGAGAGAGAGAGAGAGAGAGAGAGAGAGAGAGAGAGAGAGAGAGAGAGAGAGAGAGAGAGAGAGAGAGAGAGAGAGAGAGAGAGAGAGAGAGAGAGAGAGAGAGAGAGAGAGAGAGAGAGAGAGAGAGAGAGAGAGAGAGAGAGAGAGAGAGAGAGAGAGAGAGAGAGAGAGAGAGAGAGAGAGAGAGAGAGAGAGAGAGAGAGAGAGAGAGAGAGAGAGAGAGAGAGAGAGAGAGAGAGAGAGAGAGAGAGAGAGAGAGAGAGAGAGAGAGAGAGAGAGAGAGAGAGAGAGAGAGAGAGAGAGAGAGAGAGAGAGAGAGAGAGAGAGAGAGAGAGAGAGAGAGAGAGAGAGAGAGAGAGAGAGAGAGAGAGAGAGAGAGAGAGAGAGAGAGAGAGAGAGAGAGAGAGAGAGAGAGAGAGAGAGAGAGAGAGAGAGAGAGAGAGAGAGAGAGAGAGAGAGAGAGAGAGAGAGAGAGAGAGAGAGAGAGAGAGAGAGAGAGAGAGAGAGAGAGAGAGAGAGAGAGAGAGAGAGAGAGAGAGAGAGAGAGAGAGAGAGAGAGAGAGAGAGAGAGAGAGAGAGAGAGAGAGAGAGAGAGAGAGAGAGAGAGAGAGAGAGAGAGAGAGAGAGAGAGAGAGAGAGAGAGAGAGAGAGAGAGAGAGAGAGAGAGAGAGAGAGAGAGAGAGAGAGAGAGAGAGAGAGAGAGAGAGAGAGAGAGAGAGAGAGAGAGAGAGAGAGAGAGAGAGAGAGAGAGAGAGAGAGAGAGAGAGAGAGAGAGAGAGAGAGAGAGAGAGAGAGAGAGAGAGAGAGAGAGAGAGAGAGAGAGAGAGAGAGAGAGAGAGAGAGAGAGAGAGAGAGAGAGAGAGAGAGAGAGAGAGAGAGAGAGAGAGAGAGAGAGAGAGAGAGAGAGAGAGAGAGAGAGAGAGAGAGAGAGAGAGAGAGAGAGAGAGAGAGAGAGAGAGAGAGAGAGAGAGAGAGAGAGAGAGAGAGAGAGAGAGAGAGAGAGAGAGAGAGAGAGAGAGAGAGAGAGAGAGAGAGAGAGAGAGAGAGAGAGAGAGAGAGAGAGAGAGAGAGAGAGAGAGAGAGAGAGAGAGAGAGAGAGAGAGAGAGAGAGAGAGAGAGAGAGAGAGAGAGAGAGAGAGAGAGAGAGAGAGAGAGAGAGAGAGAGAGAGAGAGAGAGAGAGAGAGAGAGAGAGAGAGAGAGAGAGAGAGAGAGAGAGAGAGAGAGAGAGAGAGAGAGAGAGAGAGAGAGAGAGAGAGAGAGAGAGAGAGAGAGAGAGAGAGAGAGAGAGAGAGAGAGAGAGAGAGAGAGAGAGAGAGAGAGAGAGAGAGAGAGAGAGAGAGAGAGAGAGAGAGAGAGAGAGAGAGAGAGAGAGAGAGAGAGAGAGAGAGAGAGAGAGAGAGAGAGAGAGAGAGAGAGAGAGAGAGAGAGAGAGAGAGAGAGAGAGAGAGAGAGAGAGAGAGAGAGAGAGAGAGAGAGAGAGAGAGAGAGAGAGAGAGAGAGAGAGAGAGAGAGAGAGAGAGAGAGAGAGAGAGAGAGAGAGAGAGAGAGAGAGAGAGAGAGAGAGAGAGAGAGAGAGAGAGAGAGAGAGAGAGAGAGAGAGAGAGAGAGAGAGAGAGAGAGAGAGAGAGAGAGAGAGAGAGAGAGAGAGAGAGAGAGAGAGAGAGAGAGAGAGAGAGAGAGAGAGAGAGAGAGAGAGAGAGAGAGAGAGAGAGAGAGAGAGAGAGAGAGAGAGAGAGAGAGAGAGAGAGAGAGAGAGAGAGAGAGAGAGAGAGAGAGAGAGAGAGAGAGAGAGAGAGAGAGAGAGAGAGAGAGAGAGAGAGAGAGAGAGAGAGAGAGAGAGAGAGAGAGAGAGAGAGAGAGAGAGAGAGAGAGAGAGAGAGAGAGAGAGAGAGAGAGAGAGAGAGAGAGAGAGAGAGAGAGAGAGAGAGAGAGAGAGAGAGAGAGAGAGAGAGAGAGAGAGAGAGAGAGAGAGAGAGAGAGAGAGAGAGAGAGAGAGAGAGAGAGAGAGAGAGAGAGAGAGAGAAAGAGAGAGAGAGGAAGAGAGAGAGAGCGATAGAGAGAGAGAGAGAGAGGAAGAGAGAGAGCGATAGAGAGAGAGACAGAGAGACTCAAACGTACACACACGCGCGAAAGATTAGACCGACAACTCTCGGAGAGAGAGCAGCCGCTCGCAGGCAAATATTCAACTCCGATGAAACTCCATACCGAAATTCTGCTGATCCCTTTAGGGTCGGTAGTCATTACTAGTTTCACAGTAATAACGCAGCTTACAATAATAAGCCCGGTGAACGAAGTTTATTTCGAGCCGCAAATCTGTTGTTTGATTCCCTTGGCACGTGATTATGAAGCCGGTTAAGTTCGGGTTAATTAGTCGAAGGAACGGCCGAGCGCGCCGACGCGACGCGACGCAACGTTAATTTGCGTCACGAGGCGTGCGCCGCGGCAAACAACAATTTATCCGGATCGTTTCGAAAAGATTCTGGTTTTAATGTTGTCGATCGGATCGGCTGCTACCCACGGTCAACGCCTGAATGTTTATCCCGAATAAACTCGGTGATTCTTCGAACCGAAATAATGGAAGTATGTTACAAGCAAATAATAAATAATTCGGGAGAAAGTCTCCGGTAATGTTCGGCCGTTAGAGGTATGTTTTTCGATGGGAATAATGTAGGTACTTTGGCCATGTGATTAAAAACTCAGAGAAAAGTAAGCTACACGTTTGTCTGGAGGAGGGAAGGGAATTTTTTAACGCGGGCAGTGAAACTGCACCACTGCCAACGGGCCTCGGTGAAAATATATGAAAAAATATTGGAAATTGTAAATGAAATGCTGCCGTTTGCATGAAATAATATTCCGACATTTATTTGACGTCATAGTGACGTGAGTTCGTTTATTGAAAATAGTTATTCATTTGTGGAAATAATTATGTGAAATAGTATGTAATGTGTCAACATTTCTATGAATTATTTGAAATTTTATTTCTAACGATTAATATTTCTGAGAGAAAATAAATCCACAGGAAAAGTACAATCAGGTGTTCGTTTGAAAAATAAGCATTTTCTTATATTTCGCTCGATTAATGAATGCAATTGGAACATTTAACGTCCGTTTGCTTTTAACGATTTATATATCTTAAATTCAAACATCAATATCAAGATATATTCGCAATTGCTTTATTGGCAAAATAAATATTATTATTACATATAATGTATTATTATTATTATTATTATTATTATTATTATTATTATTATTATTATATATAATATATTATTATTATTATTATATATATAATATATTATTATTATTATTATCATATATATAATATAATATTATTATTATTATTATTATTATTATAATTAAAATTTCATGGAAATAACATTTGCACGATAAAGAAAATATCGATTTCAATGAATTATTATATATTTATAAACTCAGTGAAATATGTGTATTCGCACTCCAGTCACAACTTGGTAGAAAACAATGAGCTGCAAAGAGGCGATCTTCGTTGAACGAAAAAGTTACGAGGAAATAAAAGCCGTGCATTTTCTGGAATTTCTCGGAGAGTCTCGTCGAAGTGTACCGGACGAATATTAACCGAGTTTAACTACCAATATCAGAGAGTTGATGTCTATTGGGCAACGTTCGACTGACTTGATCCGAGTATAAAACTCCCGCGATTCATCATGCATGCAAACCCGCGAAACAAACAGAGTGGAAATAGGGCCGGGGACATGTCAGCCCATTATTCCTCGATCTTATTGATTCTTATTATGCAACCAGGCGTGCCAGAATAATCTGTCTTTTCGTGTACTGGCAATCGTCGGCGCAGGACGAATACACGTCCGCCGTGGATCATGTGGATTTCACTGAAAACTGAAGCATCGTCGTCGCTTATTGTGTTCCTTACAAGGCTGTTGCCATTCGAGAGACGCATCGAAGTCGACGATTCCGGTTGACGGAATTTTAAACCGAGGATTCAGGGAGATCGGATATTTCTGATGCCAAGTATCAATCGCGTGCATCAAACTTTAACACGCGTCGTAGCAGAAATTTAATAGAGGTTTCTCTACTGAAATTAATTCTCTTGGACGCCGTATTCACTTTCTTGCAAAACAAATTAACTACTTTGTATATCGTGTTCAAATACAATAAAGCCTCTTGCACGCCGTGTTCACTTACTTGTAATTATTTGTAATAAAATTCATATTAAATGAAAATATTGTCTGATATTTTTTTAATAATTATTAAAGATTTATGAAGATTAATTGTCTGTAATTAAATTTGTATTACTTCATAAAAAAGTTTTCATGTTAATTCTTATTGAATTTAAAAATTGAATAAAAGACGATGAATTTTTATCTGTGAAAGGGTTAATTTAATTTGTGAAAATGCGAATTTGCAAATTAAAATTAACCCTGTAACAGATCAAAATTAGTCGTCCTTTATACAATTTTTAAATTCAATATGAATTTATATAAATACTTATTCATGAAATAATACAAATTCTCTCTCTCTCTCTCTCTCTCTCTCTCTCTCTCTCTCAATTACAATTATTCGCATTATTATCCGAATAATTTTACAATCTGTATTCGAATCATTTAGAAGTAAGAATTATTCGAATAAATGTACAGCATAATTTGTAATGAATGTTGAATAATTATTATTCGAATAAAATATTTGATTAAAAGCAATTTATTCGAATAAATATTTATGTAAAATAATTACCGAACATCAGTGATTACAAGGTTAGTTACTGAAGAAAAAAAATGTCGTCGAAAGAGTACTCACTCTGAGAGTCTCCAGTTGGGAGCGAACGTATTCAGCACGGCTGGCAATGTCGGGAATCGCCACAGGAAACGAACCCATGTACTATAACAAGAAAAACGTTAGATTAGTATGACAATCGCAAAGGTCTTCCATAATAATGAAATCGTAATACTCGTGATAATTTGAGATCCTAGAAATTTAAAAAAATCTTATTCTTCTCGCCTTCCAATATAATTGAATGACAATTTGAACTTCAATTTGACAATATAAGTAACGTTCAGTTTTTTGTCGAAACATATTTATTTGATTTTGTGTCAGTGAGTGATCAGAAATTTTGAGACCGAAAACTGCGATGTGTTAATGTGTTGTTGCTAGACCGTGGATTTTTATGGAAAATAAAAATTGTCTACGTCATTTGTATGATACAGAAACAAACTAGCAAGTTCATTTTAATCTATTGAAAATAATATGCTAACATTTCCAAGTTATCGTAATCTTTTTACTATTTTTAGTTGCATTTTTATTTTAATATATTGAAAATAATATGCTAACATTTCCAAGTTATTGTAATCTTTTTACTATTTTTAGTTGCATTATTATTCAATTATCAAATAGAACTCAATAATATAATTTATATGTGCACCGAGTATTAAATCTATTTAATATTTTCACTGTAAAAAAATATAGCTACCAAATTTTTTAAATTGGTTTCTTCCTGTCAAATTATTTATCATATGATAAATGTCTGCAAATACTCATAGTGAACGGAATACAGGAATAACATGAAAGATTTCCTGTTCCTTGGTAAATTGCATCGTTCGATGTCTGTATGGCCGATAAAAATAGCGACCCTCCCAACACGATAATAAATAAAAGCACTCATGGGAGGGTAAATTCCATGGACGTAATAAATAGCGGTACCTAATGCAATTATGTGTCCGTGGCCTGCTCCTGATAATGTATACGACGTTTTCATTACAGTCATATTCCGCTTGACTAAATTGGTAACGGAGATTTTACGTGTTTCAACTAATTTCCTTTCGTTAACCTGCATTTTTATTACCGTTGCATTCTGTGCAATCACGATTACTTGTACCATGAAACAGTTAATCCTAGTTCCAAACATCTAACTCAAAAGTAAATATCGTAAAATTTAATGTTCATATAATATTTCTTATTTACGATTCAATTTAAATATGACTTTATATCTAATTGTAGAAATAATATTGTGGGATGGATTGGTATAAATGAACGCAGTTTATTTTGTATAATTATTTAGCAATGATTATTAAATTTCCTTGGTCTTGCATCATGGATTTTAATTACAGTTCGAACCATCGAACTTAAAAATAGATATCGTAAAATTTGGGGCACATATAATTTTTCTTATTTACAATTCTGTTTAAATATGGGCTTATCTAATTGTAAAAATAATATTGTTTGATGGATCGGTTTAAATGAATGCAGCTCATTTCATATAATTATTTAGCAATACTGAATTTCGCTGGTTTTGCATCATGAAACAACTAATTATAGTACGACACACCTAACTCAAAAATAAATATCCCAAAAATTATTATTCATAAAGTATTCATGTTTGCTACATTACTTGGATACTTGTAGTTGTGTTTAGCACTATTTTTACTAAAAAGTGAGAAAGCATTTTTTTAGATTTTAATTTAGTATCATTTGTCTCTGATCACTTTTCGTCAAATGACTTTTCAACTTTTCGAATCATTACTGTCGGATTGCAAATTGTATGCATACACGACGAACATACGTAGACGAATATTGAAAAAATGAAAATATTAAAACAATTTAGTGACATTTCTATATTGCATTCGACTCGCCGACAATAATTAAATTGATGAAAGCACACAATTTTCATTTTCCACAAAGATCCAGACTAACTATTACAAAATTAATTTCGTGGAAATGGAAAAGATCGGCGAAGATAGCGTTAGAAATGGAAAAGCGTGATATTTGAAAGCTCGCATCAATATGGTATTACTCGGAACAAATTATGATGACCAAAGTACACAGCTTCCAGTTATTGAAATGCCAAACGCGAACGGGAGTCGTAAAAAGAAGAGGAAGAGCAGAATCGGGGGATTTAATTGCAATGTGTGCGGCACATATAATTTGTACTTTCGTTCCGATTTCCACGTCTGAAAATCTTTTCCTCAGGCAGAATTTCGATTCGGATACTCGTGCCACAAAATAATCCCCGCTGTAATCCTACCGGATGATTCTCATTGTTGTTTCATCGAAATTCTCTCCGGGAGGATCTCCTCCCGGAATCACTGGGATTTTCCGGAAATATTATACCTCCCTACGCACGGCAGAAACAATCTCTCAAAACTCTTTGCAATATCAAAAGTTCCGAGCACAAACGTGTACTACATAATAGTAATAATAATGATGATGATCCGACCGCGCGTTGCGTAACGCGTCGGTTATTTCGGAAAAGTATGCATTTCCCACGTGTTTGATCATAAATATTAATGAAAATATGCCGGGAACGTGTTTTTCAAATGGCCATTATGCAAAAGTGCAGAATTTCGCATGACATTCGTTTAGACCGAGTTGATTAACGAAGGTGATTAAAAATGCATGAAAGTTGTTACCGCATTACTGAAGTTTCGTGTGTGTTATTTGTTCCTTTATCGACGCGATTCTAATTGGGAGAATAATTAAAGAGATTACTTGTTGCTTTCTACGAAATTAATACCATGATTGCTGCAACGAATTTTCTACGCTTCGTGTCGGTGTCGTTTATTTCATTTGTAGCGAATATTATGCAAGTAATGTTCTCAGTTTTGTGCATTTATTATTATAAATATTTATTATTCTATTATATATTTCACGTTCTATATAAGTCATTATTATAAATATTAACAAGTCTAATAGCATTTTTATTTTATAAAAGAAAATGTTGAAGGGAGCATTTCTTTCATTCTAATTTTTTAATAAAACGGAGTATGAAAATAATGAATTGCATAAAAATCTGAAAATTTATAAGACACAAGAAAATGTATACAGCAACAAAATATGTGTGTTAACGACAATTAATAATAGAAGAAGATACGCAGAATATTTTAGTCAATGGAATATATACATTTTTAATCATTTTAATAATTCAACCATAGAATTTAGTCATTTATGGTAAACACGAGTACATGGAAAATAATGCAGTGAACACTTCAGAAAAACAAGAATATGATCATATAATTATGACGGAAAACATTTTCTTGTCAGACCATAGAATGGAGCTGAAAAATCGTGGGTACTAATTTGTGACTCACCCTGTATATCAGGAATTATAAAAGTCAGTCATTTTAAAATACAGTCTATTATTAGAAAATCGTGGTAATTAAATTAGCCAACTCTGATATCCGTATGTTCCACCTTACAAGATCACTGTGCCCGCGCAGCGATCTAAAAAAGCGGTATCCAATCTATTAACACCCTAATTTGCAATTCCACTCCGTAGATTATGATATTCTCAGTGAAATTCAGAAACGCGATCGAACAGGTATACCGGCACCGGTCTGCAAAAAGGTGTTGTCATAAATAACGCAACCGGTTGCAGTAAATCCCGCGGACATAGTAACAGTTCTAGCGGCACGCAACAAGGTCAATTAATCAGCGTTATTATCACAAAGGTTCGCAACGAAAGACTAAGCGCATGACGAAACTGCTGGCAACCCTTCTGCAATTATCACTGGTCCTCGTGTGCACTGATCGATCGTGCCAGTTACATCGAAGGACATTGCGAAGCCGCGGAATGGATCAATTGCACCGCGCCGTGGCGACCGCTGCGTTTAAATTAATTTCCCATTATATGTATGTACGGTGAACAATCGGCACGCGACTGTTTCATACAATGAGATAGCTAAATGTCACGGCACTTATCGATTTCAATCTTTTCCATTTAAACTTCTTGCAGGGTACAAAGAGAAATGTAAAAAGGAGGTATCGTTGCGTTGACAGATTTATCTGCTGAATTTTTCGTTCCGATAAGTGATTTCGAGATATCTTTTGACAAGATTGAGCAATAATTGTAACTTGTTGCGTATTATGAAGTAGACTACGAATTTTATGTAATTTATGAGAAACATTAGTAGATCAAATGCAACAGACCGAAAATATTTAAAAAGTTTAGACCTACCGCTGCGCCATTTTCAAATCATTAGAATTGTTTCGGACAGATATACTTATTAATGACTATGTATCTCCTCTATCTTATGAATAATACAGATAATTCTTATTTTGCATAGAAGTACGCATTCTAATTATAAAACTGAGAAAACAAAATTTTTCATTAGGTCTTGTTATATAATTTGTTCAACACTATTATTATTATTACTTATTATTATTATTATTATTGTTATTACTATTATTATTATATATGGATGATAAAATCTATTAGTCTTAATAGATGTAAAAACAACATAGTATAGGAATATAAAATAATAATAATAAATAAAATACTCGATATTTATTTTTGAATTTTATACACAAATGCAGTTGTTAGAAGACTGAATTCTTTTAATCAGGATTTAATGATATTCCAATGAATCGAAGACAAATGAAATTTTCACTGTGCAGAGATATTCGCAACTTTATCCAGCCAAACAGAATAGAAACTGTTGTCACACTCTGAAATAATTGTAGTTCCATAGCAACAGATACAACAGAATATGCATTTCAATGGACTGGTTCATAAAATTAAGCCAACAGTTTCTCTACGATAAATGGGAACTTTTAAGAAGCCTGTAATTATTGCAATCACAAGATTATTGTTAGAACATTAGTTTGAGTAGATCAATTTATGTAATAATTTCCAAGGAACTGTTTTTGATATTTCAATCATTGTAAGACTACGAATAATGAATATCTAATTTGAAACATAATTAAAAACTGTTAAATAAAATTTGTACAACTCGCGGTTGCAATAAGTAGAAACAGTAAGTAATGATCAGACGCACGAGACAAGACTTCTTTAGTAGCACGAGAAAATTGGAATATTTTCCGAGGAGAAAGTTGCAGAAACGAGGAAAGTTACACAAATTATTCTACATTTTCGACATTCTTCTGCA